AACATCATAACTAAGCCAAAAATGCATAAATTTTATTTCGGAATGCTGTTTTGTGTTAGTTTTTATAGCGCTAACAAATCTGCATACTTTGTTTTAAAATTTAGAATACTCAGTTTTTGGTCAAATTTTGGCAATTTTAATGATGTAACCCCTTATGTTTTTTGAGATTTTAAAAAAAATGCAAAAATTTATTTTTCCACTAGACATGGCTAGATCGATTCAGCTATTCATTCTGATCAAGAATATATATGATTTATAGGGTCGGAAATGATTCCTTCATTGTGTTATAAGCTCCTGATTAATACTAATACCCTGCAAAAAGGTATAAAAACAGGCATTTTTTGTAAATAATCAGTGTTTTTCGAACACCATTATTAAGCCAAAAAGGCATTAATTTTAATTCGGAATGCTGTTTTGTGTTAGTTTTTATAGCGCTAACAAATCTGCATACTGCATTTGTGGTTGGTGCAAAAAGCGTCTGATTAAAATTATAAAACTCTTCAAAAAGGTATAAAAACAGCCAATTTTATTGAATAATCAGAGTTTTTCAAACATCATAACTAAGCCAAAAATGCATTAATTTTATTTCGGAATGCTGTTTTGTGTTAGTTTTTATAGCGCTAACAAATCTGCATACTTCGTTTTACAATTTAGAATACTAAATTTTTGGTCGAATTTTGGCAATTTTAATGATGTAACCCCTTATGTTTTTTTGCGATTTCTAAAAAAATGCAAAAATTTATTTTTCCACTAGACATGGCTAGATCGATTCAGCTGTTCATTCTGATCAAGAATATATATGATTTATAGGGTCGGAAATGATTCCTTCATTGTGTTATAAGCTCCTGATTAATGCTAATACCCAGCAAAAAGGTATAAAAACTGGCATTTTTTGTAAATAATCAGTCTTTTTCGAACACCATAATTAAGCCAAAAATGCATTAATTTTAATTCGGAATGCTTTTTTGTGTTAGTTTTTATAGCGCTAACAAATCTGCATACTGCGTTTGTGGTTGCTGCTAAAAGCGTCTGACTAAAATTATAAAACTCTTCAAAAAGGTATAAAAACAGCCAATTTTATTGAATAATCAGAGTTTTTCAAACATCATAACTAAGCCAAAAATGCATTAATTTTATTTCGGAATGCTGTTTTGTGTTAGTTTTTATAGCGCTAACAAATCTGCATACTTCGTTTTACAATTTAGAATACTAAATTTTTGGTCGAATTTTGGCAATTTTAATGATGTAACCCCTTATGTTTTTTTGCGATTTCTAAAAAAATGCAAAAATTTATTTTTCCACAAGACATGGCTAGATCGATTCAGCTGTTCATTCTGATCAAGAATATATATGATTTATAGGGTCGGAAATGATTCCTTCATTGTGTTATAAGCTCCTGATTAATACTAATACCCAGCAAAAAGGTATAAAAACTGGCATTTTTTGTAAATAATCAGTGTTTTTCGAACACCATAATTAAGCCAAAAATGCATTAATTTTAATTCGGAATGCTGTTTTGTGTTAGTTTTTATAGCGCTAACAAATCTGCATACTGCGTTTGTGGATGCTGCTAAAAGCGTCTGACTAAAATTATAAAACTCTTCAAAAAGGTATAACAACAGTCAATTTTATTAAATAATCAGAGTTTTTCAAACATCATAACTAAGCCAAAAATGCATTAATTTTAATTCGGAAAGCTCTTCTGTGCTAATTTTTATAGCGCTAACAAATCTGCATACTTCGTTTTACAATTTAGAATACTCAATTTTTGGTCGAATTTTGGCAATTTTAATGATGTTTTTATTACGACTTATGTTTTTTTGCGATTTAAAAAAAAATGCAAGAATTTATTTTTCCACTAGACATGGCTAGATCGATTCAGCTGTTTATTCCGATCAAGAATATATATGATTTATAGGGTCGGAAATGATTCCTTCATTGAGTTATAAGCTCCTGATTAATACTAATACCCTGCAAAAAGGTATAAAAACAGGCATTTTTTGTAAATAATCAGTCTTTTTCGAACACCTTAATTAAGCCAAAAATGCATTAATTTTAATTCGGAATTCTGTTTTGTGTTAGTTTTTATAGCGCTAACAAATCTGCATACTTTGTTTTAAAATTTAGAATACTCATTTTTTGGTCAAATTTTGGCAATTTTAATGATGTAACCCCTTATGTTTTTTAAGATTTTTAAAAAAATGCAAAAATTTATTTTTCCACTAGACATGGCTAGATCGATTCAGCTATTCATTCTGATCAAGAATATATATGATTTATAGGGTCGGAAATGATTCCTTCATTGTGTTATAAGCTCCTGATTAATACTAATACCCTGCAAAAAGGTATAAAAACAGGCATTTTTTGTAAATAATCAGTGTTTTTCGAACACCATTATTAAGCCAAAAAAGGCATTAATTTTAATTCGGAATGCTGTTTTGTGTTAGTTTTTATAGCGGTAACAAATCTGCATACTGCATTTGTGGTTGCTGCTAAAAGCGTCTGACTAAAATTATAAAACTCTTCAAAAAGGTATAAAAACAGCCAATTTTATTGAATAATCAGAGTTTTTCAAACATCATAACTAAGCCAAAAATGCATTAATTTTAATTCGGAAAGCTCTTCTGTGCTAATTTTTATAGCGCTAACAAATCTGCATACTTCGTTTTACAATTTAGAATACTCAATTTTTGGTCGAATTTTGGCAATTTTAATGATGTAACCCCTTATGTTTTTTTGCGATTTTAAAAAAAATGCAAAAATTTATTTTTCCACTAGACATGGCTAGATCGATTCAGCTGTTCATTCTGATCAATAATATATATGATTTATAGGGTCAGAAATGATTCCTTCACAGGGTTCCGAGCTTCTGACTGAAATAATAAATTATTCCCTGAAAGGGTATAAAAGAATGATACGAAAGAGTACATCTCACTTGCAGCTAAAGATGCTATTCTATCTGACAATGGCATCTTATGTCTCACAGCCACTTGTTATTGTTCTCAATAAAAAGGTTACAGGGGCTAATGTCAATTTCTTATAACCACGCCTTGAAGTCTCTCTCGTGTCGTCCTTTTTACCAATGTCAGCTATGTAACAAATGAATTATTTCTGTAACAAGCTATGTTATCCTTATATACAGGATTTACCTATAATAATTTCAACCAAAAGCTGGTTGCAACAACCACGGCCGCACATTGAATGTCTTGGAGCCGCAGTCCGGGGGGAATAAAGGCAACATTAACATGGGAGTAGTTAACAAACCACTAAGCTCAGTAGCAACAAATGCGAGACGCAGGATGGAGGATTCCGGATGCAGCAGGATGCAGTTAGACAGTCAGGGGAGCCATTGCCAGTAGTGACTGTGGCGCGGCAGCCACTATTTTGTGGGGCAACAGATGCCAATTGCCAAGTGGAATTGTTTTGAATTAAATGCCACATTTACTCAAATTTCCTTGCCATTAAAGCATATTGAGTTAAGGGATAGAGAAGGCACAGAATTATGAAAATATGAATGAGTTTATACAGGGATTTCCCTATATTTTCTGAGTGCATCTTTTGGTATTTATTTATGTATAATAATAATTAATATGTCTAGTAAATATAAATACTTTTTGTTAAAGATCAAACCATAAATTATATAGATTTCAATTTCACTCTCTGTATCGATATTTAATATCCAACTCCCACAACTTAGATACGCCCCCACATTTAGGCAAGTGTAAGGATTTCCCAGCTGCCTTTTGTTTAATGAAGCCAAAGTTGTGGGTTTATTTGTGTGCGTATGTTTAAGAGCATTTGAACGCGTGCATGTGGAAAAACAGTTTTCGAATGAATGCAAGTTTTAATCCTTGAAATATGATTTGAGTGCAAATATTTTGCATAACCATGAGCTCGACAGTGAAAAGGGTTGGCCGCAAAAAAAGGAAAACTAAGGCAAGGAAAGGAGGATCCTTGCGGTTGCAATATGCGTATTTTCCTCTCTGTGTGTGTGTGCGTGAGCAGTGACACAATTCTGCCTGCGATGTGTGTTTGTGTGTGTGTGTGCACTTGTACTTGCCAACCGCAAACACTTCACTCGCTTGAAGGTCGCCCCCTTTTTCCTTTATCCCCTGGTTCTACTTTTCCCGGCAAATCCTTAGCCAAAGGACCTCAGTGGCACAGTGCTCTATACTCTGGAGAACATAACTAATAAAAATAATTTAGAAAATTAAACAAATTCCTCCACATTAATTGCACAAACGGGAAGTTAAATCGGCAAAATGATTTAATTTGGACAGCAAAGTAATTACAAAATTTTCAACAGTTTAAATCTGTGAGTCGTAACATGAAATATATTTAGAAAATTGAATTAACTTTAGCTTCCTCTTTCTGCTATAGTTTTGTGATATATCTCTTTCGAAGGATATAGTTTCAACTAGTATCTGTATATTCCTATGTACCACTGTGCTCTTGTGCCACTGTCTGGCGCTTTAGGAACACATTGGCTCGGGCCCCTCGGACATCATTCAAATTGCGAGTAAAGGCTCACAGACCCAATACCATGGCCCCCGGGCCACTTGGATGGATGCACCTTTCGACCACAGCAAGAGTACGGAGCACTTTTAATGAGCAAAGTTTTGGGAAGAGGATAGGATGGTACTGCATCCGGAGTGTGTTACTCAGTGTGTAAAAGCCCTGGGACTTGGAGCCCGTGAGAGTGAATGAATGTAAATGTCATTTTGCGATGGCAAAAGTGTGGGTTGCATGCAACACGAATTTCTTGCCAACAGCTGCACTTCGGGTTTTTTAAATATTTTCGCGGTGAACCGCACAAAGATAAAAGGTCCTGTCCCCAGCCCCACCCCCCCTTTTGCTCACTTGAATTTGCATCTATATGTATGTATGTAGATATATACCCAGAGGGGGTTAGGCAGTGCATTTGTGTCTATTTTTTGCAGCTTTTGACTTTTTCACACACACACCGAAATTCACATGGCATTCGGTTTTTCTCATTGCAGACATGACCAACGGCGGCGTGCAGGGACCCATCGAGGGCTACAATTCGCTGGACGACCTGCTGACCACCACTCCGACAGCTGGACAGGCGGCCATGCTCCTGCCCACCGCTCCCACCGCCGCCTATACGCATCCCAAATGGATGGAGCCCTACTTTGATCCCTCGACGCCGCGCAATGTCACCGCTCTCATGGGCAAGTCCGCCTATCTTAGCTGCCGTGTGCGCAATTTGGCCAACAAAACGGTGAGTTCTGGCTAAAAGATGATGCAGTTGGAGAAAAGCGAAAAGGTTTTTGACTTTAGAATAAAATGGGGAAATAACTAGTGAGTCCTCTTAGAAGTAGAGTTAATCTTTAAGAGTTAAATGCTAGTCTTGATTTGTTAAATTAATTAATATATATTATAATGTAGTAATAAGAACATTACGTCTTATGTAGAGATCTAGGTTTTTCTCACCTGTTAGTTTGTAATACATATATTTTCTCAGTGCTTGTGTGTGTGTTGTGGTGTGGGACTTTTGGGGTTAACAGCGTACTCGTGTCGAAAAGTTTGTTGTCGTGCGTGACGACAACGAGGAGTTGACTTGCCATTAAAGTTTGTCCCCAAGTTTCAGTTATTCTCCATGCGCGGAATAATTTTTTTCTTATTTTTTTTCCTTCTTGTTTTTGGCCGTCTTTTCTGCGTTGATTTCTTGGCTGATTTCCTAACCTGGTCGACGACGCGTAGTAGACCAAAGTGTAATTCCCTTGGCATGACGGTGAAATTTTTAATTAGTTCTGTGCCCCGCCTCACCATTTATTTTACTTTTGCGGTAAGGCGACTTTCAAGTTGGCTCTAAGTTTGTTTTTTTTTTTTCGGAAATTTAGCAATTCCTTTTTTTCTGTGCCGCTGTTGTTGTTTTGCAATTGTTTCCTTTGTTTATCTGCTTTAATTGCTCCCTTCCCTGGGTTTTTGGTGGGGTCACAAGACAAAGGTCGGCCGTAGGCAACCTGCGACTCCACTCCCTCTCTCTACTTTCTTCCTTAAGCTTGAGCTTAATCTTCAGAGTCTCCTCCTGCTGTCACAAACAGACAAGCATAAAATATTTTTAAATGCAGAGAGAACTAAATTAATACAGATTTTTATATTTAAAAATATATAAATTGAAACCCAAGAGGAATAAAGTAAAGTACATACAGTTAAGGTAATTTTTTCCTCTGTAAGAGATTTTAAACTTTCCATTTTCCAACCGTTTTGTAACATTTAATTAGGAGCAGATGGGGGAGACCCCTCTGCCTTGCCTTAAAACGTGCCTAATGAAATGTATAATTGTCAAAGGTGACGGGGGCTCAACTTTTTTAATATGCCCGTCAGATAGGTTTATGAATAATTAGGACAAACAGCAGCGGCAAGCGATTAATGAGTGGGACACACACACGTTTGGCCCGCGGGGGATCCTTCTTATTCGCACCCAGGATAAAATTTGCATATAGATACTCGCCAATTCTCATTTTCCTTTTTCGGCTGCGGGGGGAAATGCGAGGCGATGCCAAAAACCAACAAAACTTTCAACACGCTCGCGAGTACTTGACACAAATGCGGCACCAGGAAGTGGATCCTGCTGGAAGGACTGCAACTGAACTAGGGACTGAAATGGAGATGCGGATGCGGATGCGGATGGCGTTGCAGGATGCCGTTTGCAGGCGCAACTTTTAATTTCTTGCCAAACAAAAGAGGGACGTCGAGTGGCAGTCCAAACTCACTCGCACTCGCACACACATACATGCATGCCGCGCCCTGGAGGCTAACACATACATCAACTGTTCAACCTCAAGTGGGCGCGCCTTTTTGAGCCTCGCACCACCCCTCCTCCCCTCCGCTGCTGCCGCGGCACTTTCAATTGCATTTGAGCGCGAAATTATTTAAACAATTTCATGAAATTGCTCTCGCCGCACGCGTCAACAGCACTTGGCTCACAGTCCGAGTTGCACGGACCCAAAAGTTGGCCCGCCACAGAGCAGAGCAGCACCCTAGACCACCCTAAAGTACCCTCTGTCCCCTGCCCCTGCATCCCCTCCCTGGGAGTTCAGAGGCTCCCCGAACCGAGCACGACTTGCAACTTGAAGCGGAATGTCGAGCTGTTGTTGCCTGCTGCTTGTATTGCTGTTGCTGTTTATGCTGTTGCACACAGAGAGAAAAATGTTGTACAACATTTGCTATATAATAAATAAATTATAAAAAATCTCAAGTCTTGAAAGATGTATATATTTACAAATATAAATATTTGAGTAAGAGCAACTACTAGGTAACATGAAATATATTTAAATTCATTGAGTTAAGATGTTCCTGTAACTAATTAATAATATTATTAATGGTTTTCAGAGTGTCTTCTAAGTTTTGTAATTTTGTATTGAATTTATATTCCTACTACTAAAAACTATAATTTTGTTCAGGTTACCACATATTTTCCCGCTGTGCAACATTTGCTGTTCATATTGTGGAGGCGTTGCTGCTAATATGAAACCAACCGCCTTTGGGGTTGGGCTTCATGGCTCGGGGAGGGGGGCGTGGCTCCATTACAGCACCGCATGCAGCGCAGCGTGCACTTGTTAATTACGCTTTAATTTGTTGCGTAAAATGTTTGTTTAATGGCAGCGTTGTCGCTGCAAAGTGTGTGTGAGTGTATGTAGTGTGTGCGGTATGTTGTGCGAGTTGTCAAAAGTGCGAGAGGGCCATGTTTTTCTCACTTTTATGCACTCCTAGAGCACCAAACTGAACTAAAACTGAAAAGCAGAGCAGACCATCATCATACCGAAAAACCTACACTATTGTTCGAGGCCCTCGAAAGTATGCAGCAGCAACATTTCGTATAATTAAACGCACGCACGCACCCATCATTGTGGGGGCTTTTATTTTTAGAGGGTGCAGGAAGGTATATAGAGAGAGAGAGAGAGAGACACACCCTGCTGGCTGTCAAGTGCGATAATTTTGCATTTACATTTGACTTAATAAGTTTACACAAGCCCAGGCAAGGCAGCCAGCCCAGGCAGAGTTGGGGCTTACAAAGTTATCTCTGTGCACCGCAAAACTACTTAAAAAGTTTGCGATAATTAAGCAAAGCTCAAAACAGCTCGAGCACGACCAGTGTGTAGTGTGTGGCTCCACAGCAACAGCTTCCCGGGGTAATTCCGCTGAGATTCGGCGGGTCTTAGCCTCTCAAAAGTTTCCCCCTTCGGCAAGTGCGTCACACATTGCTCATACGTCACGTTCGCCACGGCCAAAAATTCATGCCAAAATGATGCAAAAACTTTTTTATCGCCCACACACCCTTTACGCCGCCTGCATCGCGGCTTAATCTTCGTACTTTATTCGATTTTGATGGCACTGCGCCGGCAATTCGTTTTCAATTGCTGCATTTTTAATGCGACCAAGCCCAAGGAGCTGTCGTGGAGAGTAATGGCCTGTGATTTCCCAAGTTTTAAAATATGGCCAGAACTTTTAATGTCACTTGGCTAATTGAATTAGAATTGAAAATTCTAGCTTTACTAGAGATTAAGATAAGACTTTAATTAAATAATATTCTATGAAATATGTGAATTATTATCAAGTTAAATTCCTCTGACTCTGGCTCAATTCATTTGTAAATAAATATATATAAATCAAGTTAAATTAAATTCCTCTCCAAGGTAGCTTCAACTTGAATTGATTAACAACAATTTATGTAAACTACCCAAAGTGCAACCTTTTCAATTTAGCCTCTTTTTTTACGAGAAAGAGAGAGTACATTGTTTTACCCGTGTTGATGGTTTTGCAGGTATCCTGGATCCGTCACCGTGACATCCACATACTGACCGTGGGCTCGTACACATACACCTCCGACCAGCGGTTCCAGGCCACTCACCACCAGGACACCGAGGACTGGACGCTCCAGATAAAGTGGGCCCAGAAACGGGACGCGGGCATGTACGAGTGCCAGATATCGACGCAGCCGGTTCGCAGCTATTTCGTTCGCCTGAATGTCGTCGGTGAGTATCGGGGGAGTCCCATTTCCCAATCCCCAAAACCCTCTGTCCGATTGGGGTTCGGTTTCGGTCTCAGCCCGGGCTTCATAAAAAAATCAACCATTTGTCGTCGCAAATAACAAAAGGGCACTCGCCAAGCGGCAGATGAGTAAAAAAAAGAAAAAAACGAGAAGGAAAAGAAAAAACGAAGTTGTTGAACAAATAAATTACACACAGCAAACGAGTGAGCAACACGCACGGCCAAGGAATTGCGATGGCGATGTCAATGGAACGTCGAGGACTTGGTTTTTATACGACAATAATTCCATTTTATCTCGTACTTTATTATTCTACAGTGCCAGGCAGCCTTCCAGCCAGCCGGGATCCACCTAGGCGACTCCTGCTCATCGTCATCACCATCGTCCTTTATTTTTTTCCCCCCGAAAAACAACGCTTTTTCATGCACTTACTTTTGCTCGCCTTTTCTCTATCTTTTTCGGTGTGTGTCTCCAGTGCCAACGGCCACCATCCTGGGAGGTCCTGACCTTCACGTTGATAAAGGCAGCACCATAAATCTCACTTGCACTGTAAAATTCAGCCCCGAACCGCCGGCCTACATCTTCTGGTATCATCACGAGGAGGTAATTAAAGTTTATTGTTACATTCCCTTTCAGAGCCTTTCAAGTGTCCACTGAAAGTACCTACCTTAAACATGACTCTTGGGTGGTTTAAAGGTAAATCTAGGTGGCTTTAGGTAAACAATACAACACAATTTTATTTTATAGAATTATAATTTGTTGGAATTTAAATCTAAATCCTAGTGGAGATGAATAAATAATGCAGCTGCCAATTGACTTATCTTTGATTGCTTAATTATGAGTTTAAGTTTCAAGCTCTGTAAGATTTATTTTTCTTATTAATCAAATTAAAATATAATTGAAATCAGCAAGTTAGCACCTCTAACTTCGTTCAGCAATTACATATCAATTGCCTTCATTTATTCTAGCCTTCTCTGAACTTTTCTAATTGCTCTCGTCAACTTCCTAACAATGACATATATGCCATTTGCCAAGTTATGACCAGTCTGAAACTTCGATCCTTGGTAAAACTTCCTTCCGTTGCTCATACGCCACCGGGTGTCAGGAGATGTTACACATGTGCATGGCCCCATCACATCCTTGTCCGAGTCTCGCGGAACCCTCATCAGATTTGTCGTACCGCACTCCCTCAACGTCAACGTCAGCGTTATTTAAACGTCAGCTGTTGTTATTTTAATGAGTGAATCAACGCGCCCCCGCGTATCCTGCGACCTTCACACATGCAAATGCAAATGCGATGCCAAGCAGGGACGAAGGAAAGAACTGTGTCAATGGCGCTTGGCGGACAGGTTATGTTTAAATTACCGGCGAGGGGGTTAAAGGAGAGCAAAAACAGAATATTCAGATCGACATTATTTGGGGCAAAAGCTTAGTTGTCCTTCACGTACAGCTCCTGGTCCTGGTCCTGATCCAGCTTCGGCCAATTAGCCCTGTTGTCTTAGTCAAGTTAAGCAGCATCAACGGCTGCCCGGCTAATTGCAGAGTGGCAAGTGCTAAGTGCGCCTGAATCCGCAACAGTTGCACGCTAATTGCAATGCTAAAGCCAAACAAAATATCAACAAAAAATGCAGAGTGAAAAAAAGGACGAAGGATGCCAGCGTGTTAAATGCGCTGCTCACACAAATCCTGCTCCTGCTGCTGCTTCTGCTGCTCACTTCTTTGCCAGCTTGGCCACTTGGCGTATTTTAATGTATTCCTGGAATTTTCTAATTAAAATCCTTGCAGCCCTGGCCCACCTGTCCGTGTGCGCCGCAGGAACCTTAACGCGTCCTTGCTGCAGGCTTTTGTAAAGTCCTGTACTGTCCTTTCTCCCTTCGCTCCTTGCCACGTTTCGTCCTCGCCGCTCCTTGCTCCATGCCCTGTGCACACGGATTATTTACGATCCATGCAAATTTGCTGTTAATTAGTTTAATGGATGGATAAACTCAGTTGATGCACTTCCACTCTCGCACCGCAGCTGAAATGTATGCAGCACTTTTTCCTCGCACTTCCGCTGGCTAATTGTAATTAACGTGTTGCATACTATCCCAGCCCTTGCCTCACCTCACCACGCTTTTCCTGAGGTCACACAAGTCGACAGGACACGTGGCATATGGGGCTAATTCCGTGAAATATTTGGCATTTTTCCATCCACCACGGCCACTCAGCTACTCGGCCACGGTTACCTGGCCATCGGCTTATAGCCAGGGTATTGGGTGCCTTCACTTCAGGTTGCTTCGAGTGGAATTTCAAATCGCTGGGCTCCTCTTCTCTTCTCTTGTTTTTTGCACTTGCCTCTCACATTTCAGTTTTATGTACTGAGGATTTTTACGGCCTTCGGTTTGTTTGCCTTTTATGCTCGAAAAATATGCGGGCGATTATTGTGTTGAGAAGTGCCACATAAATCGGATATATGCGCATTTTCAATGAGCTACAAACATTTTACACAAATATTTTATATGTACATTTGTACAGTGTTTTTTTGCCATTGTATTATATCCAGCTGGATATATACATATATATATTATTGTTTCGCTTTGTTTGTGCCTGCTTTTCCTGCCACATTTCCCATCCAATCGGATCCCCCGATTGGAGAAGTCAGGATGAGCCCCAGCGAACTCGGCTGAACTGAACTGAACTGAACCAGCTGCAGTTGTCATGAAAATTGCAAACGGCACGCCATGAATTTTTAAGCTCCCTCGGTGGCAAAATGTTTTTTCAATTTATCAAATGACAAACTGCAGATTCGCATTTATTTTTTATTCTCCTCTGTCACACCGCCCTCTCGCCTTATTTCTGTTATTATTCCCTTACCCCGATCTCTACTGTCGCCCACTCATTAACTAATTTGTGCCGAAGGGCGAGATATTATAATACAAATATGATATTTATGCCAGAGTCAGCAGTAATGGGGCCACGGATATCGTGTCCCGACTGATAGGCAAACTTTTCACTTGCCGAAAAGTTTTCTGCGACCAAGTTTGTGTCATTTTCATTGTTTTCATGACTGATACCTAGGATAAAGAGGGTATGATGAAAGTCGTACTAAAGAAAAGGTATAAAATATATATATTATAGAACTTAAAAAATTTAATTTTTATTAACCTCAAGTCTTAATCCTTAACCAGGAAATAAAATCCCTTTCCCAATGGCCTTCAATATGATTCCGATGATTGCGCAATCAAGGCCCTAACCCTAATCGGTATCAATGGATTCATTTTAGCCAATTTCCTGCTGTAGTTCCTTTATGTCTATATCTATTTAGCCATCGTCATCATTAGCAGTGACGCTAACTTTTCTTTCATTCTTCATAGAATCAGCAAATGTTGTCGATTAGTTGGGATTAGACGGCAAATTATGCGCCAAACAGTTTTCCCCGAAGCGACTTGGCCAAGGGGTTGTGTGGGCCACATCTCATTTCCGCAGTTGTTTTTAGACATCTTCTCGTTTCTTTTTTTTCTTTTTTGCTGTTCTCTCCTCTGGCTTTTGGCTTTAGTCCTTCAGCCAAAGTCTTTGCCCTGTCAGCGGCATTATGTGTTAATATCAATTCTCTGTCAGCTCCTTGCTACGAGTATCCTGAACTTTGCACCCTCTCTGCCCTCTCAGCTGTATTGGCAAATTATTCCGGTATTTGTTTTTGTCAGCCAGGGGGAGCGACTTAATATGCATTCAGCTGCTGTTAGCGGCAGGACCTCGACAGGACCTCCATGCTATCCTATCCCTGCCGCCATGCACAGATCGATAATCGGGATGGCAAGCAATAACCATAATGAGGTGGAGCCTCCTGCTTCGGGTCCTCCTCTTGTTGCTCCTGCTGCTCCTGTTTCTATATATATATATGTGTATATATTCGGCTTTATTCTGCCTGATTTGCATGGAACTTCACGCGATCTTTGATGTCGAGAGTTAACCTTAATCACGAACACAGAGTCATCGAATTCCAATTAAAATCACAATTTCCACGGGTGTCAGTCAATGGCAGCTGTTGCCAAGTCTCGTGTATTTTCTTACACCTTCAATTATTTTGCAATTCAAAGTTATATTTTACACACTGATGAGGGGAAGAAGAAGTATAAGTTGACATTTTACTGAGATTTGTTTAAATAAAAGATATTCCAAGTATAAATCCTTCTAAAGTAATAGAGTTTTTAAAATGTATTCTTTACATCTTGTTTTATATTTCGTTTTATTTAGGGTATAATTTCAATAAACACTAGGAGTGAAAGTAATATTAACACTTATTTTTCGGCAAGTTTACTTAATTTTCTGCACAGTTTTTAAAGCAAGCCAAAAAAAAACCGAAAGTCATTAGAAAATTTCGGTGGCACAGCCGTTGCAACAAGATTTTCGCTGTCTGGCCCTCATTGTTTTGACATTATTGTGTATGCGAAATGTACTCACGACTTGCCCCCAAAAACTCCTCCTCCATTTGCAGGTCATTAATTATGATTCATCAAGAGGCGGCGTGTCGGTAATTACCGAAAAGGGCGATGTGACAACCTCATTTCTGCTCATCCAGAATGCAGATCTGGCAGATTCGGGCAAATATTCCTGTGCGCCCTCCAATGCAGATGTTGCCAGTGTGCGTGTGCATGTCCTAAATGGTAAGTACCCACTTCCAGCTCTCCCTCTCTATGTAGCAACCAGCAACCAGCTACCATATCCCAGTGCCCCAAATCCAAAATCCGAATAAGCCAAATGGAGGGCCCCGAAAATTGTAGCCATCCTTTGGGCAAATACTCGAATGCCCCGCCCATGAAATGCTATTTGTATGAGAGCGCTCTCGCATTAACTGACAAACGAACCCGACAGTCGTCCAACGGGCTGTCCTTTTTGTATCCCTTGTTGCGTTTCAGGCACCGATGCACACACAAAAATCACATTTAACTGAATCATTTGAAATACAACAAATTACATACGCAATTTTTTATTAAATTAAATACACTATTTGATGGGAATCTACATTACTTGGAAGCAAGCTCTGAAAGAAAGGTCTTCTTTTGATGTCTAAAAAATTTTAATTAGGAATTCTACAATTAGGGTGCATGCTTAACATTTATAATAATATTGAATTTACTTTTTTCTTCTTAAAGTAGATTAAAAAAAACTAAAGAAATACAATATCTTTGTTTAGTATTTAAATATAAAGTCATGGGTATATCAATGAAACACTCAAATAAGCTTTGAGAAGTTAACTCTTTTTTAAGTTCATGGCACATGAAATCTTTAAGAAAATTAAGAGTTTAACATACTTCAAATTCAATTTTAGCTATTGAGGAACACTCAAACGAAACGCTTTTTTAATTAATAAGATTATGTTAACATTAATAAAAGTATCCCTAAAAGAATTAAATGCTTTAAATGAAGCTTTTCCCAAAAAGGCATATTTATGATTCAATAAATAATATTTACATCCAGAATGTATCGTTTTTTCGAAATTTGGTTACCAATTTCTAGATTGTCTAAATATCAGATTTCCAATATTTACATATATTTCTCCCGGTGTGATAAATTTTCAAATGTGCCCGGCAGCGTTTAAATTTTGCATTTGAATACATGTATCCGTGACAGGGCGTTACCCAGCGGGACGTTTTATGAAGTCAAAATGGTCCTGGCCCCGGGGCCAGATCCGCCGTTTGACCAGTTTACACCAACCCAACCTAGATGACCAGATGACCAGCAAACCACTGACTCTCTGACCGCCTTGACCCACTGAAAGTGAACCAGAGAGAGCCCAAGTCCCGATTCGGGGCTTCCGATTGCAATTTCAGCTCATTTCCGCCTTCATGCAGGATGCGATGCGCTGCCCGTGACTCTTTCACAATTGACCAGACCGGGCCGAGAGTCCTTAATAAATTGTGCAGGAACTGAGCTTAGTTCGCCTGATTTCCACCAGGACCGCCGCAAAAGTGCAGCTCGGGCCAGCGGCAAACTCTACTCTGAATTTGGCCCAATTTCGGCTGAAGTTGCTATGTGACCCGCGGGATTGGGGGATGTTTTGTAGCGGGTTCAGAGCACATAATCGCATCAATTATGAGCAAATTAATTAGCACACTGCGGTTAATTGCAGTTAAGTGACTGCCAGCCAGCCAGACTGAGTTGTGAGTTTACCAGGCTCCGGGGAAAGGATATTCAAGTCCTTGCCACCGTCACTCTCCATTACACGCAGACGGAAAAACACCAGAAGTGACACGGGAAAAATAAATATTAAATGTAAATTGATAATATTAAAAAATTAATTAAAAGTGGAGTGTAGGTAAGCTTTCTTGAGTTAAAAATATATAACAAGACAAAGATAATACTTCATAGACAGAAAATATTACGTATACGTAACCTTTACGCCAAAAAAATTTTACGTATACGTAAAGGTTTCGTTAATATTACGTATACGTAAAGGTTTCGTTAATATTACGTATACGTTAAGGTTACGTTAATATTACGTATACGTAAAAGTTACATATATATTACGTATACGTAGAGGTTATGTTAATATTACGTATACGTAAAGGTTACGTATACGTAATATTTTCCGACTCTTTTAAATACTTAGAAAAATCTAGTTTCTTATATCATTTATATCCAAAATTTCTGCCTGTGTACGCACTGAGACAAAGACGGATGCCGGCGACATTTACAAATTGCGAGTGGGACTGGCAAAAGGAATTGTTGCAATTTGCCAGCATAATCGCTGTCGATCGGCGTGGATTTGACACAGTTAAAATAAATTACGTAATTGTAAAGACCAGAGACAACAACAAAAACAACCAGGGGAAATCCCACCAGCAGCAGCAGCAGCAGCAATAACAACAACACTGAATCCCAACAATGCCAGCGAATGCTATAGAATTTTAACTCTAACGGAGGAGGGATTGGGTTGCGGATGCCAGGGAGAAGGAGGGAGAGGAGGGAGGGATCAACCGGAAAAGGAAATGAAGGGGGCACGTTTTTCAATCATGCTAACAGCACCATGGTGACCCTGCCCCACCCACACCCACATTCACACCCCCACCATCCTTAACCCACTGCCGTCGACGACCAGCGTTTGCCGCAAATGGACCGCAAATGGCAACGTGCGGAAATCCATGCTGTTGCCATTGTAAACGTTTGCCAGCCATTATGCATGAATGCATAGAAATAGAAAATAGCACCAGAAAAGCGCGGAAAAGCGGGGTGAAAAATGGGGGGGGGTGAAAAACTGTAGAGCAATGTGAGGCTTCTAACATCCAGCATTCAGGTGCTTCGTTGGCCGATAGTGGGTTAACAAACAAAATAATGAAGCAACAGCGCCCAGTCAAAGGCCGCGCTACCCGTGGAAAAACAGAAAATGGTCACAGGATATACGAGTTTGCACTTTTCCGGATGTTCTAAACGCAACAGCGATAAGCCGGAGACTGGAATGCCATGTTCATTGCAGACATCTATGGCTTTTGAAGGGGTACCAAAAATTCTCAAAAGAATAATAAATATCTTTTACGGGAAAATTGAAATTAAAACAGGCATAATTTAAAAGGAAAGCTGAGCTTAAAGATAAGGATAAATTCAAAGAGAACACATATATAATAAAACAAAATATTTCAATGACTTTTCAAATATTCTTGACCTTCTCACCTTATAAGATAAACTACTGTTGATAATAAATAAAATATTTAAAAGGTTTAAAAATTGATCACTAAAAATATACATTTAAAAATTAAAAACTCTATTAAAAACATTACAAAAAACCAAAAACCTTCAATAATAAAAATAATTACAGCTTTTATGACTATATAACATATCCAGATTTAAATTGCTTCTCGGAAAAATAAAATCTCAGATTGTTTTGTTAATAAAAACAAGTTTCTGGTCGAGATTAGCTCTGGAAAAACTATTGTCCCCTTTTTGTTTTGGAAAAAGCTTAACGACAAAGCCATTAAGGTTATTGAAAACAAATTTGTTGAGCGGATTAACAAATCCGAAATATGTTGTCGAGCGAATGCCTTTTGTTGGCCAACTTGTTTGTTGCGGCATGGTGTGTCCTTTATGGTGTTTGGACTGCTGCTTTACACAAGCGTAATCTGGATAAAAGTCAGATTATCTATATATGGATCCTGGGAAATCGAAATGGAATTTCGGATGCGACCTTCGACCGTTCCAACACACAAACATACACACATTGTGTCCGAGTGGGTCGAAGGCCATTCGAATTGAAGCGTTAATGGCACAAACAAGGGCCTCATGTTGTGACAGGCAAACAAAACGCAGCTCCGAATTTGGCTTCGAGAAACGTTCCTGCCAATTGTCCATTTGGCATCAGCATAAGCAGGACTCGTCGTCCTTCACAAGTCCCAGACTCTTTCAGGCCAAGTTATGCATGGATCACCATGGTTTTGAGCGGGTGATGAGAGCCTGCCCAGACTTTTTCTGCACATCGTCCTCGATTGTCAGTTTGTGTGAAGGGAAATCCTGAGCAGTGGTCAGTGGTGTCCTTCACATTACTGGAAACGGAAGGAAGTTCTTTAAAAGATTGTATATAAGATTCAAAGAGGAAACTCTGTTGTAAGTTTAATTATATATTATTTAGAGGAAGGCAATTTTACATCACATAATAAATAATATTATATTCAAAACAAACTTACCCAAATGCAATGCTAATGATTGCAGCATCCTTTCCCCGCATAGTCCAGCTCTTCGCTTTATATGTAGTTCGTAAATATTTTCCCTTGTTTTCCATGCACTTCGACAGGACCTACAGAGAGCTGTCAGAAACAGGATATGCGGAGCATCTGCCTTGGGGATCCCAAGTTGAAACTAGATTTTCCCCTTTCAGACACACCACATTAGTCGGAATTCTAAGGGAGGGTCTACTAAGAGAGAGCGTGCCATTAAATTTGATATGGAAACCACAGCCAAAGACCACGGTGCAAGTGCACTGGATGTGCCCGTCAATCAGGCAACAATTGGGTAAATCAGGACGCTGTGCGGATGCGGACTATGTCCAGCCTCGGTGCGTCGTCGGAATGCCTAAACAGGTTGTTTGCCCTATTTGCGCTGATGATTTCGATGCATTTGCCAGCACAGGAGACAGCCAGGCAGGATGGGTTCCTGCCCCTGAGTGGGGGCAGGGGGCATGGGCTTCCAGCTGCCATCGTCCACCTACCACCTCCTTCAGGCCAGGCTCCATTCAATTACGGCTGATGCCGAGGTGAGTCGTGGCCGGGCATATTGATATTTGGGCGACGGACAAGAATCGGCTGCCTCGCAGTTTACACTTGAGAAATCAAACGGAATCCCTGACCGTGTCACGACAAATGTCCTGCCATCTGATCCCACCGAAAGTATAGGAAGCTAGCACAAAATCCCAAGGAATAAAGTTCGAGTTTCGATTTATTTTGCGCCAGTTTGAAATTTCTTTGGCTACGAGTACTATTTGTGTGGCGCTTTTGTTGGCTGCTCATCAAATGGCAAACGACTCTTGGGCGGGATCAAGGAAAGTGTGAGAAGTTAAAGCCTTGACCTGAATCCTCCTCCGCTCCGCTCGCTGCACGTATCGAAGTCACCGGTATGTCCTGTCCTGCAAACATTCGCACACAGAAAGAGATAGATAGGCAGTGGGAAAGGGAGAGCT